GGGAACGGGTTTGTCCTGATCGATCGTTTTGATTCCCCGACTCTAATATTCCCTTACACGGGTTTAACGGTGTTGCCCTGGTCGGCCGCTCACGCCGCGTGGCGGCCGCAGTTTGATTGTCGCTGGTGTCGCCAGGGGGACTCGTGCTCTTGGCGACGGTTGGTCCTGGGTTACGAGGGAGCGACACGTTTCCCCGAGCTTTCCCGTAGTGCGGGGACGCTGCCCGCGCAATTTCGAATTCGGATGCCGACGAGTCCTCCTGCCGCGTTACCCTCCCGGAAACTTTCGCGCGGACTCTGTGAGTCCGACGCCGAGGCTTGACGGCCTCGAACCAACCGCCTCTACAGCAAAGACCCGAGGGTTCGGCCACTTCGTGAGAACCGAGGATGAGGCCTGAAGGCTTCAAACCCACCACCTATCCCCCAAACCCCTAACGGCCGAAGTTTTGTCTTCCACCGCTATGCCCCCCCCCCTTTTTATGCCTTTTCCCGTCCTGATACACGACGACAGTTCATTTTTGCGAAAACCTTTTTGATTTTATCGTCTCGGAGTGATCCGACCCCCACGAGACTTCGCGGCGACAGTTCGACCCCGGGGAAAACCTCTGGCACGAAACGAGGGCCTCCCGTTCCGTCCGGGAGACTCAACCCTTACGGCCAAAAATCCTCGGCCACGCCCCTCCTAGAACTCTGATCGGCGACCCCGTACAGGACACCGCGAGGAGGAGTGAGGTTGGTATCAGAGCTGATTCGTTTCGGCTCCGAAGTTTTCCTAGGACGATTACCCTGTTTTAAAGTTTTTTTTTTCCTTTTGATCCTTTTATTAGATTTTTTGCATTTTTGAGTAGGCTGGCTCCCCGTCGAAGGAGGCCCGCGAATAGCAATCAGAACTGAGCGAGACGCCGGGCTCGAAACCCGCCTCCCGCGATAGTGGAACCCAGAATTGGGGGTGAAAACGACGGTGACAACCACGCGGGGATGGCCAATCATCCCCTATACTTTGTACCTCCTCCTTCCGAAGTTCACATTTTCTCCGAAGATGACACCGACCCTCGTACCTGGCTAGCGGCCTTGAAAGCCCAGGGCTGGTCGGATCAGTTGCTCCGAGAACGAATACCCGGAAGGTTAGCTGAAACCGCTTTTGAGTGGTATGGACATAACCCCTTCACTAATTGGGCAGCCTTCCAGAGGAAATTTCTCGATAGATTTGATCACATCGCACCGGGTCAATGCCTCCGTTTAATAAAGGAATACACGCAGCAGCCTCGGGAGACCTTGGCCAGATATGCTGAACGTTTTACGTACTTAGCCGAACGCTCCGGGGTGGACGAGAAAATGGTACGGACCAATTTCGTCAGAGGACTGTCAGATTCTCGTCTGCGGAAAAAGATCTGCAAGAAATGCAACCCTATAGAACATACCCTGACGGAGCTAATTCAGTACGCAATTAAGTACGGGAAAAAAAATTACGATGTGGGCCTGGACTCATATCTCTTTTGTTTGACCTGTAGGTTTTGAGTACGAGACATCTTGTGATTTGTGGACACGGGACTTTGCGGTTTTGTGAGGTATAGGCCTTGAACACATTATCTCTTTGTAGCAAATGAGTTCCTGTTGTCCTTTGCTGAAGCTGTGTGGGTTGAGGTTGGATCTTCGAAGACCTCCAAGTATCTTTGTAAGCTTTTTTTATTTTTGAACTCCTTTGTTTTTTCGTTAACCTCGAACTTTTGACGGCAGTGGATTTTTTTAGTTGGCAGTAGTGGAAGCAGTAGCAGAAGGTGACGGTTCGAACTTCTTTCATTTTAACTAGGTTGATCCGAGACTAGTATCGTAGGACTGATGTTTGTCCTAACGTTCTAAGTATATATACGCCTAGGTTTAGACTAATGTCACCTGCGACTAAGACCCCTGATGAGGACTGGTTGGCGGGCCAGTCGAAACTAGTCGGGTCCTACCGCTATGCTTCATGTTACTTTTTAAAATCGCGTTCGGGGATTTTTTCAAAGCTCTGGCGTACTATTTTTTCCTCTCTCTCTCTCTCTCTCTCTCTCTCTCTCTCTCTCTCTCTCTCTCTCTCTCTCTCTCTCTCT